CGTGGTAAGAACGTGGGCTAGCAAATCCTAGTCCCGGGTTCGAATCCAACCTCGGTCGGTTCGGTATCAAAGCAGCTTGATACCAAATTTTCACTTGAAATCATAGATTTCAAATATGATTTCAAGTGAAAATGGCCTTTCGTGGGCATAGCTGTAGTGGCAACATGCCACTTGGAAGTAAAAAAAGTCATCACTATTACAGCAATTGTAATAATTCAGCACATAGAGATGGGACAACTGTTTGGGTTGCCATCTATAATAATTGTAAGATAATTGATCACAACAGCTCATAGAACTCATAGTTCTGATCGCTGTTAAAAAATATTTAAAAAAAAATACATGCGACCAAATTATGCTTAATTGTTTTAAAGCCTGATATAATAATTCTAAGTTTTTTGCTCTTTAATTTGTGGCTTCTAGGTTTTAAAACTCCTTTTTTAAGTTTGAGTAGAGGAAGTTACTTCGTCAAGAAGAAGTCACACTGATTTAAATTAATATATACACTGGTATAAAAAATCTAAATTAATATATACAAAACCTTTCTTAGAACCATTGCAGACTGATAAGATATCAAATGCCGATATGATATGATTTCAAGAATCATTCAAATATTGAACCGATATGATTTCAAGAATCAAAAACGCTTTCATCTATCTTTTATATTTGGCTATATTTGTCATTTTCCATTTATACAGTGAAAACCGACCTTCACTAAAAACCGGTTTTTAAAATTTTGAATATCACCATGTATCAATACACGTGATGTTTAGTTGTGGTAAGGGGGTAATCCTAAATATCACGATGTATCACCAAGGGGCAGGGGGGTTCAAAAATCCCTCAAAATTTGATCACGTGATTAATGGACGCCCCTTGATGTAATTTTTAAGTACATATACGTATACGCTATTTAATTGTTTTATAAAATGTATTGTTGATCTAAGTTAGATTCAACAGTTTTTTTATATAACCTCTATAAAAGCTTATACGTGGAGAGGTAAAAAGAATCAGCTAAACATTTACCCTGGCAAAGGTGTAAACAGTAAAAAATAGTAAATAAAAATAATTATTAAGTAAAAAAGGAACTTTTACAAGAGATAAATTAAATAAGCATGAGTGTAGTTTCATAGAAAAAACAATTAATTTAGTTACAATAGTAATGTAATGTGTTATAGTATTTTGCTTAATTTTATTAAATTAAGTAATTAATAAAGATATAAGTAGCATTAATATATAAGTTTTGTTTATATAATATTGTATGTGACTATATTGGTATTGAAAGCCAACTAAAAAAAATTAAAAAAATTAAACAGTTATTTCAACTCTTCTAATGAATATTTCTGACGAAATACCAGATCAAGATTATATACAAGGTTATCTGTGTAAAAATGTATCCATAAAATTGATATTGTGCTTTGGATGTATATGTAGCTATTATTTTGTGAAATCTCTTTAAAATTGAAAATTAGACATTGGACCTTTCCCCCCCCCCCCCTTTTGAAAAACAGCAAGAAATATTTTTACAATGATAGATGAGCTGGGAGTTTTACTGAACATAGTCAGATATTTGTTCGTTTGATTTGTGTTATTTGTTGTGATATAATTGGTTTGGTTTTCACAATATAATTGCTCAAATTCAAATTGGACCTTTGTGCCTCAAACTATCAATAAAATATATGCATAACAGTATTAGTTTATATAGTCTGAATCTAATTACTTTTTTCAATTAAAACGCATAGCTTCAATTTATAGCACTATTATTGGGAATTTTATTACCAGAAATAATAAAATATGATTCTGATAGCTTTCTTTTGTAAATTAAACAATATTAGAGGTTTTATAATCGAAAGTAATAATATTGCGTAAATAATATAATAACACGATCGAAATTAATAAATCTAACATAAAAAAACAGAAATGCATAAAGAAATTAAATAATGCAAAAATTAAATAAACTGACGTGATAATGGTGCAAGTAGATACAAATGTAATACTATTTGTTAAAATATTTAAATAATTAATAACTATCTGTATATTTATTATTAAACAGAATATATATATATATATATATATATATATATATATATATATATATATATATATGAACAGAATATATAGATATAATTTTTTGATAAAATGGGATATTGAGATCACAATTTTGTGGCAAAATACATTTTATTAAATAAAAACATTGGACATTATTTTTGAAAATAATAAATAAGATAAATTAGAAATAATGTCTAATGTTTGTATTTAATAAAATGTAGTTGGCCACAAAATTGTGATCTCAATTATCCAATATTATCAAAAATTTATATCTATTTATTCTAATTCTAATAACTATTGTTTTCACTGATTTTTGTCCGACGCTCTTCAAGTAAATTTGTAGTTTTTTAATTTTTTAATTTGACATATGTAAATATATAATTTTGAAACCGTTTTACTATTATAGTAAAA